CACCCTCCTCAACCCAAACCCCCCTCAACCCCCTCCACTCCTGCCTCTCCCCCAAATACACATTCCAGCGCGGCCGCGGGTACATGGCTAGTTCTGCCGCCGTGGGCAGCACTTCTTCCTCTTCTTCGTATACAGCCCTCTCACTCCCTTTTCCGTTTCCGTTGTTGCCGTTTCCGTTCCCGTTCCCTCCGTTCCCGTTTGCCCTGTTGTTGGTGTTGGTATGCCGCCGCACGACGACGACGACGCGGCTGCAGTGCCGCGAGGGCTGGAAACTGCCTGGCACGCGGGCGGTGAGGGTGCGGGCTAGGTGGGCGGAGTCGTTGAGCGGGTTTGTTAGGGGGGAGGTTTGGGGGGTGAGGGTGGAGGTGGTGCCGGGCCCGGCGATGCGGAGGCCGTGGGGGTCGCGTTGGGAGGTGAGTGGGGAGAGGAGGGGGAGGATTGGGTGGGGGGTTTCGTCTCCTTCTTCGTCGGTGGTGGTGGTGGTGGTGGTGGTGGTGGTGGTGGACTCAGGGGGGAAATGGGAGTCTGTGGGAAAATGCGAAAAGAAAGACGAAGACGAAGAAGAGGCAGACACAGACCCCACCGCCCGATCAGCAGCCGGCGAAATGACTAGCCCGGGGACATACCCGGGGACGATGTTTGCGAGGAAGGAAAAGTGCGTGTAGAGGGCTGTCGTGAAGTTTGCGAGATGGAGGATGGAGGGGGTGAGGAAGGTTGGGAGGGGGGATTGGGCAGTGGGGTTCTGGGCTGCGGTGTGCCATGCGCGGAGGAAGAGGGTGCGTTCGGGGCGGCGCGGGGGCAGGGCGATGAGGAGTTTGTTGAGGGTGGGCGTTGTGCTGCTGGAGGAGGAAGAAGGCGGGGAGAGCGGGTCGGTGGATGTGAGGGTTGTGATGGCGTCGGTGAGGGTTGATGGGATGAGGGGCATTTGGGAGAGGCGCCATGTGTGGAGGGTGAAGGCGAGGGTAGGCGGGATTTGGATGGACGAGGCGGACGACGAGATGGGGCGGAGGACGAGAAAGGAGGGTGCGGCGCGGGCGTCTGCGAGGTAGGGGACTGAGAGGACGAGGGTCTGCGAAGGGGACGAGGAGATAGGGGGCGCGCCGTGCTTGGAGCGGAAGTAGCAGATTGGGTTGAAGGAGTGGGGGACGTCGTTGTGGATGTCGGGCTTGGGGCAGAAGCGGAGCTCGATGGTGTCTATGCATTTCGGCACGGCGCAGCGGGCTGTCTTGATGTTGTGGCGGGTGTCGAGCGAGGGGTTGGGTTCCTGGCAGCGGGACGTGCAGGACGAGGATGCCGAGACAAAGGAGATTTGGCAGTGCGTGTACTTGTTGTCGGGTGCTTGGGGTGGTATTTGGGGACGGGGAGCCCAGGGCTGGAAGGGCGGAGCGAGGGCTGGTGGGAACAAGGGGTTGCTGGTTAGGACGGCGAAGGGGACGTCGTTGTCGTGGAGGTAGCGCTCCGAGATGCGCACCGTGGCGGTAGGCCGGAGATGGAGATTCTGCCGCGTTTGTGTGGTTAGCCTTTTGGGGGGGAGATTCTGATAAAAACAAAGACCTGATGAAAGACGATACCACTTTATCAGGGTTGTCGATCAGTGCCCTCCACCGCCTGCACACCAGTCTCAGCTTCACTTCGCGGCGGAGGAGGAAGTATGTGCCGGGCGCGTGCCGGAAGACGCCGTGGCTTGTCCGCTCGTCGTGGACGGTTGCGCGGGCCGCGACGGCGATTCTGTTGCGTGGGTAGCCGTAGTGGTGCTTGGTCACGACGTCGACTGTCCTGGCTGCGTAGCCCAGGATCAGGGCCAGCACGCTCTCGCCGTCCACCGCTCTGTGGATGCGTTCGAAGGGTATGTCGCGCAGCATGCGGATGTCGAGCTGTGATAGCCCGGTCCAGTCTGGCGGCTTGTGGAGCCTGCGGAGAGCGACGTCACGATCCACGTATGTGGGCGGCGGTACGTTGGGCCCGTACGTCAGCCTGGGTCCGAATTCTGCGGCTCTGTGACTGATCGCAGGTGCTAGGGCTTGGAGTGGGCTGTAGTGATGGTGTTGTACGGCCTGGTGTCGGAACTGCGGGTTTGGAACTCGGTTCACCACATCAGTCGTCGTGTCTGGAGCATATTCGGGCTGGATGCCTTGAGCGGCCAGGTTTCTCTCTCGCATAAAGTCCAGTCTCGCATGGAGAGCGGCCACATTTCCGCGAGAGGCATCTGCTAGCGTGGCATATACGCCCTGCTCAATGTGCTCTGGTGATGCAGGAGGGCCGATGGGAAACTCTGGCGTCAGTCGATCGAGCGACGGCGACGGGTTATTGTGCTGGGGTGCACGACGCGGCTTGGGGACGTAGAAGCGTTGCGAATCCATGGTGACAATCTGGCGTCCGAGTCTTCACAGCAGAAGAGGTGTATACTGGTGATGGGGAAACACGGCAGTGTTGTCGTTTTTGTTGTGTGCGTGTGTGTGGAAAGGTACAGACGCGAAGAAAGGGTTTGCAATCCTAGACGTAGTCAGGTGGGAGCTGGGTTGACCGCCAGATCGAATCTGTGTCATCTTTGTTCACTTGCCGTTGTGCCACGTACACCGTCAAGGCTCTAACACGTACAGTCGACAGTGAACAACGCGTCATTGCTTCGTTCGTGGCACCGAGAGAGCACGAAGTGAACCAAGCCCATCTACAGCCGTATAGAACGGGGTGATGTAATTTTCCCTTTCGCTCTTATGAAGTGCATACGTGAACATGCCCAACTGAAACAGCAAAGCTTGAGCCAAGTCATGAAGTAGTATTTCTGCACTTTCCAGCCATAGTCTTTCACCCCAGAGATATATGTAAGACTTTGCTAGCGCACATCTGTCCATCATAGCCAATTCCGGTAATTTGGACCTCTACTTTATCACCACCCCTAAGTTTTTGGACGGAGGACGCTTGAAAAATGTACTGGAGGGCATAAGTCCGCTGGACAGGCAATTCATCGATTCGAACATCAAAGTGTGCAAACGGCCCGGTCATGTTGCTTCGCGGCAACATAGCAATTCTGCAGTCGTCTGATTCGGTAAAACTCCAGGCCAATCTCAGCTGCTCTGTATCATCGACGAGGTGCCTCAGTACACGAATGTCTCCAATCTCGCATGCTAGTCTAGATATACCGGGAGGTAGTATAGCCAGGCTATGTATATCAATCAGCGGCGTTCTACTGCCCACAATGTTTCCGTCGACAACCTGTGGTCCAGGAACGTCTTCCTCCAGTTTTGCATCATCTACAATATATTCGACTCCAATCTCAGTGATGACAGCCTCAAACCTATCATGGCCTGGATTCAAGCTTTCATAGATGTTAGTGTAGATCTGCCTTTGCTCATGTGCTGGCACTACAGGGAGCTCGAAGCTTATCATATTAGTCTGGCACTTGCGCAACTTGACGTATATTTTGATGATATGGTTCGGAGGCAGCGGTGATAGGAGAGTATAATTGACTTGTAACCGTAGGTAGCCTTTCAATGAGACTCGAAACAGTGGAAGGCTCATGTTTGCCCCTGGTCCCGACCTACCAGAGGGTTCACGGCGTATTATTTGGAGGCGGGAAGGTTGAGGTTGGAGATGTGCTATCAAGTTGGGCGACGAGGGACACTCTGGAGGCTGTGACAGGGTGAAGATATCTGGAAGTATGGACTGGTGTGCGAGACGGGATTGGAAACCTTTGCCTTCCATGGAGCTTGTTTGAGTATCAGTCAGAGGTGCAAAGCCTCGCTCGAAGTCGGTGTAGAAATAAGACAAACTACCTGCAGGACGTTGTTGCGCATATCGCGAGATAGGATTGTTCTTATAACTTGAATCCCGATGGACCGAGGCATCTGCACAGTCACAATGTGTATCCGGCGGAAGTTCTGTCCCATGCCACATAGCCTTCTCTACATTCCTCCCCTGAGAAGGAAAGTGTTCGAATGACCAAGCTGGCGCAAAGATACCGGCGGACAAATTCAGTTCTGCGAGTTTGGCAACGCCAAGACCGGTGTTCGTGCCCCCACCCCCTTTCGAGGGATACGTCACGCGTTTGGGGCCTGTTGTGTGAGTGTTTTGAGCCCAAACGTCGATTCCGAAGAAAATATTCGAGAGTGGTATCTGATGCTCCTGAGCCAGTTTGATGGAGCTCGATGCACCCTCCCCAGTCCAGCGGTAGTTGGTCAGGATAGACCCCGCCGCTTTGGCAAACGCTAGGTTGCGAAGGCTGAGTCTGTTCTGGTAGTTCACTTCATTGGTGGCGGTTAGAGCATCGTACCTGTTGAGGAGTCAGATGTGGCCTCCCTATTTCCGACGGTCAAAGGACAAAGGACGCGCAATCGTCTACGCACCAGACAAGTTCACAGTGCTCCTTCATGTCCGTCTTCAGTTGCTCGAGGAAGCCTAACAAAGCATGTAGGTTCCAATGGCGTCTGGGAAACGGATGCTCCAGATTGACAAGCCAGCCGTCGAAGCCATAAACACTAGCCATACTAGCAAGTTGGTGAGCGAGTGGGTAGTGTGTCTTCTCCCCGTCTACCGATAAGCTCTGCCATGATTCTAATATTCCCTCATAGCCGGGAAGGTCTCTCTCAACAAGCAGGGTCCCAAGAACCTTTACACCATTTCTGTGGAGATGATTGGTCCAGGTAGAGGGAGGTGTACATGCGAGCTTGTGTGAAAAATATACAAAAACATCAACAGACTGTAAGTGCTCGCAAGTATATTCCTCGTCACTCAGGATTGAGCCCTGGACAGCTTCATAGTCATGGTAATTGCCGCTGGCATCATGGCACAGAAGAATTCGCGCACGCGGTTCCTCACAAGCTGCTTCATATGTTGACTTGATCAAGGGTGTATTTGCAGTCTGTAAAGGATCCACTGACTCAGCCGACCAGTCTTGAACTTGATCGAAAGTGTCGAAATAAGCAAACCCCTTCAATGCGTCAAGGCTTCTTTGCTGGCGTCGCTCACGTGGAGTAGGACTGGGATCGCGCGGAGCTCTGCCAAAGCCATCTCGAAAGCCGTCGCGGATTGGACGTAATATGTCCTTCCATCCAGCAGGTAAGAGATCCATCTGGGCGGCAAATGAAGAGATGCTAGGATTCAGATCACTTTTGCATTATGAAGATAAAGAAGTTGCGTTTTAACAAGCCAGCGATGCATCTTCAACACATCAGTGTCGTTGTTGCGAAGCTGCTACGGTGAAACAATAAAGACCCAGGGAGGGTGAGGTTGAGGATGCCACTGATAGACATGGATAGGGCTGAGCGCTAGTTCGAAAAGGGCAAGGCTGGTTCGGACGTTTCGACGTGAGCTTGGCAGACCTCCCAAAAGGTGCATCGTGTTCTGTTCAACATTTCGTGTCTTGGTCCCCTCAGACGTGTCTACACCCCTCTACCCGTCACTAGCAACACCAATTGTCCATCTGTAAGGAATATTGGCCACAGCAACCTCCAAGATGAACATCTTCAGATTTCTGGGTAAGTTCTCCTTCGTCTGTCCACCCTGCCAGAGTTGCGACTCGCGCGACTCGCAAACGGAGCTCCTAGAGCTTGCAGATGATTTATCATGCTAACAATCGTCAGGGGATCTGTCCCACCTTGTCTCTATACTTATCCTTCTACACAAAATGAGAGTTTCAAGTGTCAGTCCATATCCGACCGGATCCTCCACCAATTGGCGCAACCCTAATCAAACTCGCAGTCCGCAGCAGGAATCTCGTTCAAATCACAGTTCCTATACTTCATCGTCTACGTAACGCGCTATATCGATCTGCTGTGGACCTTCTACGACCCGTCATCACTCTACAACACTGTCTTCAAAATCATCTTCATCTCTTCATCTGCCTACACGATCTATCTCATGCTCAACGACTACAAGCCTACTCATGACCCCAATCTTGATACCTTCAAGGTTCAATATCTACTGGCAGGTAGCGCAGTACTGGCGATCTTGTTCCCATACAAGTACAGCTTCACAGAGGTTCGTGCTCGCAGGCGTCTACACTTTTCATGCTAACCATGCGCTATGCAGATCCTGTGGGCCTTCTCGATTTGGCTCGAATCTGTTGCCATCCTTCCCCAGCTGTTTATGCTACAGCGTACCGGCGAGGCTGAAACGATCACCACCCACTACCTTTTCGCACTTGGAGCATACCGTGCCTTCTACATCCCGAACTGGATATACCGATACAGCTTCGACTCCCACTACAAATTCGACCCAATTGCAATCTTTGCTGGTCTTATCCAGACGGTCCTCTACTCAGACTTCTTCTACATCTACTACACAAAGTATGAACCTCGATACCGCGTGCAGAAGTAGTACTAATGATATCTCAGGGTTATTCAAGGCAAGAAGTTTGGTCTTCCTGTATGAGTCATTCCGACGCTGGGACGAAGAGCCGACGAACTGGACCAATACTGCTCCACAAAGCCGATGATACCCGACATTTCTTACCCCGGTGGTCTAGAGTCGAGATGTGCCGTCAGCATGGCCTTACCGAAGGCCAGACGTGGATAAACGCTCGGCTCAGCGATATAAAGGTGTACGAGCCTGGAGCACCTCAGCAGACTACGTGAACAACGAGTTATGTATAGACTACAGCTTCTTCTACGGAAGGATATACAGCAATGTTATCTTTCATTCAATATCACAGGACTCATATGACGCTAATATACTATATGCAGCTGCAGCATTAAACGCAATTGACACCACCACCTAATGTAACATATATCTGAGCCCGATGATAAACCGCCATGATATCATGTCTTCCCTCGCGCAGATTCTCCTACAGCAAGCCATTTTGGGGCTATTGTCATTATTTCCTCTCAAGTAACTTGGCCAACTCCTCAAAAACGGTAGTCTTCAAGTCTTCAGTTGTACTACGACCGTAGCGTCTGCTATGATAATATCTGGAGTTGATGTCGGGCTTCGGCACTTCCAAAATTTCGAAAACAGCCGTCTTATTCTTCATGCGATGCCCTACAGCTTCGAACCAATGATGCCCATCGCGGTATAGTCTCTCCGCAATCCTCTTCGAGTTGTGGCTGCAGAACGTGCAGCTCACTTTGAATTTCTCCAGACCGACGGCATCGCAAAGCAGTGTCATCGCTGGGTGATTGATTGCTTTGTGGGTCCCATTGCCCCATCCCCATTCCTTGATGGTGATATACCTGACGAAACGCCTGTGGGACCCGATCTGAGCAAGGAAATTGTACATGGCCTGAGTATCGGCGAAGACGAATTCGTTGCTGTACAGGACCGCAACAGCCTCGACGTGAATCTGCTTGTTCAGGGCGAGCAGAGCCGGTACGAATGAATTGGTGCTCGTGGCAATGGTTTCATGGTAAGATCTGACGTGTTGGCGCCGAGCAATACGTCGGTACTTCTTCCACCCTTCGCAGAGACTTACGGGTTGCGTGTCGGAGAGTGCGATTTCGTAGATGTGGTTTCGCAGTTCAGGTGGTAGGTCAAGAAACCGGAAGAATCGCTGGGATTTGGCGGGTTGGGCAGCAGCAATCCCTGTTTTGCGTGCTCGCTTTGCTTTTTGGACTTTCTGGGCTTTGGCTTTGCGTTTGCGGCAGCTTATGTTGGGCTCGTAGTCGCTGTCATTGTCGAGTTCGCTGTTGGTTTGGGTGGATTGCCATTCTGCTTCGGTTGTCTCCCGAGAGAGGATCTGCTCAGATTGATACTGCTTACTGGTCAATTGGACTGTCATCGGAACGACTAGACAGGATTTACCAATTGCTGGGACGTGACGCCAACCATGCTGTCGTTTCTGAAAGGTAATGTAAGATTGAAGGTCGTGTGGAACGAGAAGCTCAACTTATAGAGAAGCAACAATCATCTCATGTCTTTATTAGTTACCTCAAAGCGGCGAAGCTGCCTGAACTTGTGGGTCGTACAATCAGGCAGGAGCCAAATTAGGTCAAGTGCCAGGCAGCAGTACCTACTTAGGTACCGTACCTATAGCTTCGCGACGCGATGAGTCGTGACGCGACTCCCACTGAAACCACATTGAATCCATCTCTACAACACTGCCCTGCTAGTCAGATGAAGAATCACGACGGTATGATCGAAGACTAGATTGCGGTATCTGCAATTCTCAAATCCCACCCGCTTGATCCCCGCACTTCACATGTACGTGCATGCCAAGGCGTTCACCGGACGCAGGAAGCAAAATCTTATTTGACGAAGCTGCATGCATATATGCACGCCATTTACTATTATGCTTCTCAAATCAATAATTCGTAGGGTTGAATACGCCTTGCGCATGCAGCCTCGCCTATGAGACTATGTTCCCCTACACCTTACATTTGTTCTCGCAGGAGATGGCAGAAGTTTCTCGAACTAGGTGCTCTCACTTGACACAATACCTCTTAGGCCCCCTTCCCAGATCATGTTGGAGCTCAAGTTCGAACGAAGGTGTCTCGAGGTATAACATATCGTCTTGGCTGAGCTCACTCTGGGTAACCTTTATCGTCGCCGTTAATGGCTCTTGAGGTTGTTGCAATAGGGGCTTCTGCCTACACTATACTTGAGGGCCTGAAATGGTGCGTACATGAAATGGGCCTCTTCGCAAACGCATCTCGCAACGGCCGACGCGAATTGCGTATGCTAGAGTGGGAGATTGACCTCTTGACCCGATGCTATGAGAGAGCTCACATCACAGCTCGCCGAGAGAACAACAAGCGGCAAAACCCGAAAAGAAAGAGTAGAGAGGAAATATTGATGGACAAATTTGCGCGGACGTGCGAGAAAGCTGTGAGGCAATTTTTGAAGAAAGTTGCGGAAGCGAGTTGGTTCACCATGATGTGGTATAGAAGCAGGAGTGCAATTATGGACCTTGTACAGCTTCTTGCGAGGACCAAGTCTTCTTTCGGCATGTATTCGGATGTATGCAGGATAAGTGACTTGGAGGAACGAATCAGAAATTTGGAGATCGAGAATGAAAAGCTGAAATCCAAGGGCATCGAGTCTGACCTTATCCATAAATTAAACGGTCTCATGTAAGCTGAATGATTGTAGGACTATGGGTCATCAATAACATTTTGAACAGACTTGTCAGCAAGGAGGATCTTATGGCCGTACGGACCGACCTGAAGCACAAATACCAACACATCCACGACGTGCATCCCTCTCAGAAGAAGATAGAAAGCGGGACTAGCGCAACAACCAAGGCAGAGGAACAGTTCTTGGCCCGTGTTATCACACCCAAGATTGAGATGAGCTCCCCAAGTACACAGGCAGCACTAGGCCTTCCTCGAGCTTCAAGATCGTCGAAGTCAAGGGCATCTCGGCCACCTGATCCGCCCGTACCGACACTTCCTAAAGCGCCGACATTTCCGGCACCCAACAACTATAGCAGTAGTGCCTCGGGCAGCAGGCCTGGTCGTAGATTGAGACCTCAAACGATGGATCACAAACCGTGTTCTACCAACGTCCATGCTCCGGTTGAAACGCGCACAAAGGCTCCGGAGGAGTCTGCCAGCCATATATCCGTATCATCAAGTCGTAAAGCACAGAGTGTCAGGCGGCGTCCCAGTGTCGCTATTAGATTAAGAGAGACAGAGCCTCACTCTCTAGCAGTTACAGTTGTGGAGCATCGAAGAACGTCTGATGAGCTACTGAAAGAGGAAGATGTTGCCATTGAAGCTCGTCAAACGAATAGAAACAATGCCGAGACTGATAGATTTGCACTCCCCGTATCAGAGGAATGTGAAATATCAAAGGACACAGGTAGAGTTACGGCGGATCTATCAATTGTTGCTGACTCTCTCTCGGAGATCAAGCAACCCGAACTTGCCGATATTGCGAGTGCCATGCGCCAGAACATGGTCGACACAGCTGCCCTGGAGGAAACTGGTTCAATCAAAGACAGTTCACGCATGTCCAGCGGCAGAACAGAGCGTTCAAGAATACCAAATGATGTTCCACCGGTCTTGCCCGCCGAGTCGCGTGGCCACGACACTTCAAACGAAGATCTCACATCAAACATGAAAGACAAACGGCGTTCATACATTCCGGCAGACTCAAGCGAGTCGTACTACGAGATCCACGCACCCTTCATAGACCGGGACCTGGACGATATCGAAAGCTCTCACGTGTCAGGATCATCCTATCGAAGCGTGGCCTCATCCGCATATGGCTCCATCTGCTCCAGGCAATCTCAAATGTCAGCAGAAGCAGAAGAACTAAAACGCCAATTGGAGAAGAAGGACCAGGAATATACCGAGCAGCATTTTCGAAAGCTTCGCCGCAAGTCCGGGAGAGATATGAGGCTGTCAAAAGGCGAGCGAAAGTCACCTAGAGCGGGAGACGAAACAGAAATAAGCAGGGACCAGCATCGAGGGAGTCGTCGGCTCGAGAGAGGGGTTGATCTGGGAATTGATATAGGTGGGGGCAAGCACAGATACACCGCGTCAGAGTGATGGGAGCAAGTTATACGATAGCTGAACTCTCCTCAAAAGAGCCCCTCGAGTTTATGATATAGGCAAACACATCAAGAACACACTCCTGTCGAGCACAATATTGGATCTTTTGGGCTATGTACATAGTCATTACGCATAATTCATCAGAAATGTCATTATCCGAAACGCCACGCTCCTCAAAATTCATTGAAAACCTCCATTTGCAAGATTACCGATAAAAACGACCAAGATGGCACAGTACGCTGCGGATGCCGCGAAAAGCTCGTGTCGAGCAGCCTTGGTCACGAGACTCATCGCTGCCGAAAAGAGAAGGGTGAACACGACCATGATGGCAACGGCGTCAAAGGTCGACTGCTCATTGCGACTACTCGAGAACTTGTACATGAGTACAACCGGGCACACGAGAAGAGAGAAGATGATGAAAGTGATGAGAAGACCGATAAAGGCGTCTACTCTGGTGGAGGAGTAGAAATGAATATGCTCGTCTGCCGTCTTGGCCTGGAGTTCGGGAGTGCGAAACAAATTCTGCAACTTGGTCATTAGGGAATCGGCTAGCATCGGAAGCTGGGCCTAACGAACCTGTAAGGGCGGCTTTTCGGTCCTCAAGATGGGCTTCAAGACTTTCTGGTCGATGATCTGCAGGGATCGCTCCACGAAGCCGTCGAAGCCAGCCCACTCGCGTCCGTTTCTCAGACTCAAGATATCCTCTTTGTGTCGTATGGAGTCATTGTCAGCGTCCATGAGAGGCTTCGCATTGTTGATGTATCGCCGGACTGAACGATAGTTGCGCTCTGATGGGCGCTGGAAGCCGGTCATTTTGCGTGATTTGATCATCCACTTGTCATATTCGTACAATTTGCACTTGATTTCTGCAAGGATCTCGCGTCGTGGGCGGGTGAGATAGTCTTCTGGCTCACTGCTCGCTGTCGAAGTGGCATCATCAGCGTCGTCGTCGTCATCATCATCAGTTTCGACAGTGGTTGCGGCAGGAGCACCATTCTCTGCTACTTGGCGTTGCATCTCACGACGCTCTGCTTCGCGTTTCTCGCGTTTCTCTCTCCGCTCATCTTTACGCCTTAACTTGGCCTTGTACTCATTGTACGAGTCTACATCCTCTGTCCGACTATGCAGCCTCATTTGCCGACGGCCATCATAAGAATCCTCACGATCCGCATCGTCGAGTTCCTTCTCCAACGTGGTCAGTTCATCCTGCATGTCCAGCAGCACGCGGCTGTGCAGATAACTGAAGTTGCGATACAATGCAAAATTCGCCTCTGAAGACTGAAACGCAGCGAGGCGAGGATATCCATTGGGCGTCTTCTCGAGGACACGGGTGTGGACTTCCGTGACTTCTTCTGGGTCAGGATCGGTATGAAAAGGATTGACTTTCGAAAGGAAGGATCTTGGGCGTTTTTCTGATGCGCCTTGGACCACGTTTGTGTTAGTATTAGTGGCACTTGAAGATTCAGATATATCATCAGGAATGTCTGCATCTGAAAGAGCGTCTTGACTGGATAAAGAAAGATCCATATCGTTGTCGCCGACAAGTGTTTCAAGATCGTCTTCCATGGGTGGACTTTGATTGCAGACGGCATCAGAAGAAGCTGATAAAGAAGAAGTGACTTTCAATATATGAGAAGACTGCAGTGAAAGAATGGAATCTCGAACAAAGGAACAAAGACCGACCTGTTTCTCCTTGTTCTAAATCAAAGTCCGAGCTCCTTTCAGAATGACCAGAGTTTTCACTCTCAGTATCTACCCGAAGCACAACCTCGTTGCCATTCTCCGTCACCGTCTCCCCACTCATCACCGTATCAACCGGGGACTGCGGGCCGCGCTCATCTCTGTTAGCGTTCACAGTGACAGTATCACCAGTCAAAGCACGATTCGGCGCAGGAATTGGAGCACTTGACATTTTCTTACACCGATGGTAGAAAGTGTGGCTGCCTGTAGAACAGGATTCGGGAGGGGAGAGGCGCATGTCTTATACCACCAGCCACACTATCACGTACACAGCCTCACTGCATCCAATTCTTCAGTGCACGGACTCTTCATGGATATATGTGGTAGCATTAACTTCTTATGGATAACTTTCATGCATCCCCAGGCGCTCAGCTACACATGCTTCCAGTCTACTCTACCCCAGCGTCTTACCGCCCTAGTTTGCAGTGCCTCTGGAACGCCCCATTCCTCACCAAGCGCTGAAGGATCTGTCTGTATGGAGTCTGATCGCCTATCAATGATCTCGCAAGACGGATTGATCTGCCTCGCATCAACTCCTGCAAACTAACTAACTGCTCTCCTTCTTGAGCTTATTCTCGCGGTAGTACGCGCCTTTGTTGTACGAGCTGCCGTCCAGAGTGGCAAGTCGGTACTGCCAATATGAATTCTTGTAGCCACGAACGCGTTGAACAAGGAAAACTTCCTTGCGCATCACCTTGCCGTCGTCGATAGTCATGCTGACTCTCTGGCCTTTTTCGAACTTGCGAGGAAACTATAATGAAGCGATGAGCAGGCTGCGCCCAGGCAGGCACACAAGGGAGGGGTTTGGGAGAATACATACAGGCGGCGCATCTTTGTCATTGGAGACATCGGACTTGGTTTCAGGATAGACTTCACCGGCGGAATCGTACTGTGAATTGATTGATTAGCACTCACGGCTTGTCGAACACCGACATACACACCTCCAGCTCATCCTCGTCGTGGACCACATCTGCATCATCAACTGCTCCACGGCCGTAGTTTTCAGTCTCAGCCATCGCAGGAATAATGCGATTCTTTGGATTCGATATATGAGAGGGCGTTGATGCTCGATGGGAAACACTCGTTCTTCAGCCTTGCAGCTTCTGCCTTCAATCCCCCTCACTTCAGATGGATCGTTATCGCGCCCGCCTTTATATGCAGCTACGCGACCAGGTGCCAGGTCGGCCGCAGCGAGTTTCGCTTTGCAGGGAGGCCGTCCACGGTCAAGCATCTAAGCATCTAAATGGGCACCATCTTCCCGTCGCGGCTGTCATGATCGGCCTCTCGGGCTGCTTGACCGATCAGAGACTCCTGTGCGTAATCGTTCAGATGCATGGATTATCTCACCTCAGCAGCAGGCAGTTTGAGAGCTTGTGTGCTTCGCCACTCGCTTGCTGTGGGATCCGTCGTTTTTCCTGGAACCTGACGAGCTTGGCGTTTTCCATCGGATTTCACGCGTGTGTTCTTTTTACACCTCCCCACCTCCCCTTCCCTTTCTACCTACATGGTCTTTCACCTTTCTACCTCTCTATATGAGTACTTGGTCATACGTACATAAGTAGAAATAGCTCGAGATAGAAAATGGGGGTGAGAACACGCGTGCACTAGTGCCACGCTCGCCAAGAGTTAGGAAAACGACGGGTTCATCCCAGGGTCCACAGCGACTATCTAGGCCTTCCATGTAGGCACCCAAATAGAACGGGAAAAGTTATGAACATTCGCGTCAATAATGAACGAAAGATATATAGAGCATCTTCAGCGGCACCCCTATATCCAAAAGACTAATCTTGTCCTAATAAATTCGTTTAAAAATGTTACTCATGGCTATAAGTTTCCTTAGACGTTAAGAAAACAGCTAGTATAGTCTATGAGGAAGAATCAATCGCCTTAACTAATATCAGCTAAGAAGATCGCGATACTATCTAAGCCTGATATATAAAGCCTCTATCCGGATCTAGTAGGTATGATTAACTTCCCAGCTATAATTTTCTCATGATCTGGATATAGCGTGATTGCATTGTCTGCTAGGTAAACAAGTAAGCCGAAGTATGCTACGTTATTATTAGTAAGTGTACGTAATCAAGCACGCTCGGACTTGCCATAGTTTGCTGAACGCTTTAATGTCAATCTCGTATGCCCTTCGTCAGCAGGGTATTCGCGTAATACAACTTCGCTCCATGTATAGTCATTCCTGCTCAATGGTACATAATCTACATCCATTCGATCATTATGATTATCATATACTCCTTGAGGTTCTATGTCCAATTATCAATTATTAGTAGACTCTTCGGGAGTAGAAACTAGAACTCACTCTGTACTTCTACCAAGTGTTTAAGGACTCTTAGACTAGTCATCGTTGATAGAGAGATGCGGCTGGAAGACGCAGTTGAAGAAAGACTTAAAGGCATGAAATTTCCATACACGCGTCTGAGAGATTCGATAGATCTAACCACATTATTCATAATATAGTAATGGCATAATACTATATCGGCAGGCTGGGAGTGCGAAGCTTGCCTAATATACGATAGTTCTCGTAAGGCCGGTTGACGACAGGGAGGAGGACGATCTAGCCAGCGCCACGGCTCACCACCATCCAATCCTTGCTCGCGGTCGAACGGAAGGTGCATTGGCACCGCTTGGCCAAATATGTCCCACTTGCCTGCTACTGTCTGAGGTACGCTTGTCCAGCGGGTATCATCGTCGCAATAGAAGCGCACTCTACTACTTTCTAGATCATGATTCCTTTCTAGATAAGCAACTGATCCCATAGTATTGCGCACTTCGCTCAGATAATAGATCTCAAGGTTGTTGGTACGGCCAGGTACGGAATGAATACCAAATGTATACCGAAGCAGTTGTTGCATATATGCGGCCGCCCCAGGTGGTACTTGATAAGGACGATCTATCAACGTATCTAGACGGTTGAAAGCCGTATTCGCCATTTTGATTGCTTCTTCAATAGCTTGGACGATATCCCGATTATAGCGACATGATTCATGGATGTGGTAGCCGTCGTGTAAATGATCGAGTGTAAGACATGGTACAAAGAACATCGAGAATAAGATGGCGAAGAATGTAAGAGGAACCATTCTGCACTAGCCACTAGTAGATAAGAGTATAGATGAAAGGAGGTTGTGATGGTTCCAGAACCTATATACTTTCAATATATCATAGCTACAGAGGCCGTACTATATACTATTAATTGAACGTAATTAGCGCAGTAACATCTTCGCCTTTCTATTAGTGTTTACTTATGCGCTATATTAGAGACTAGGTAGTATTTTAGGTGATCCTTGTCCTATCCACTTTAATTCGGCCCGCGGTAGAGAAGATCAAGAGAGTCTCAATTTTGTATGCTTCAATTTTTGAATTGCCAATAAGAAATTTACCGCATGAGTAGTTTTGCGTGACTTTAGATCGCAATGGATACCTTATTCCCGAAATATACTAGCAATTGGAAGCATTCATAACCATTAAACCGTTTTAGAAGGATTAGATCATGATATTTGTGTTTGAAGACAATCGAATGAACGTCAAGCCGCACGTGCTTTGTCGTTCATCCGTTAGCTTCCAGTTTGAACCAAAATTCTTGGAGACATGTCCGCCATTTTCTTTTTATAATTCCAGCATTGTCATCGTCGTGAAGGCCGCCATGATCTTCCCAACCGTCAAAGCTTGCAGTCGCACAATATCGACAGCCGCATCTCGGCTGATCTATAAGTCTCAGCTCACCGGACCAGATTAGGACCTACGAGAAGCTGCGCTACGACACTAGAGTGTTCCGATGGATGGAAGTGGGCGGTTTTCCCGACTCCATGCTTGCAGTAGAGATGGTAATCTCGGGTCAACTTGCAGGAACTCAAATACGTACCGTGATCTTGACGTTCAGCTGGAGAGGACTTGGGGCCGTGAACCTGCACACCGCTTTCCAGGCTATGCGTGTCTAGAGGAATCCTTCCACCTTAGACTCTCATCGTCCTGCTGCATCAAAATACATGCTCTCGTTATAATGATATCGGTCCATGTAGTCATCGATCGCGACCTGTATGTAGCGTCAATCAGAGCAACCCAGCCGCAAAACCTTTTCCGAGGATGTCAGCATCATACCTTGGACTTGCAAGTATGCGGGATACCCCAGCCATCAACAGCAATTCCCGACGAAGGCCCATCTTGTTTCGGCCACTCCAGTGTCATATCTCCAGCGCAGAGGATGGCCTGTCGCAGATAGTCATAGCAATGCTGCACGTGGGACAAGGCTTCTCTCTGCACAAAGCTTCGGGCAAGCCCGTCGTCTCCACTCACTACTCCGTCTATCATTATCCACTGCATCTTGCGAAGCCTTGCAAGACAGTGGAGCTGGTGATACATGGATACAGAATAGATGGGGCCATGCTTAGTCTGCTGGCCAGGTGGTAGTCCACGCGACTCTGCGTCTGAAACGTACACGAAGCCTCGTCCTTGCTGTTCTATTCTCAGGAGCCACCCACTTGCGAGAATATCGTGCCGACTTACAGGTAATAGCATGTTCCAGGCATAGTCTGTATCGTCGTTTGCTCGCTCCGAGTACACTGGGTCAGCTTCGAACAGTATGGTCTCCTGTGGTACTACCCCGATGTCAGCTACACGTTCAAATCAAGTATCGAACCAAACGCACCATGAGGCAGAGGGTCGGTGTCTCGAAACGAGTATGAATGCCTGACGATCAAATGGCCTTGTTTGATAAGTAATCCGAAAACGAGGGAAGATGCCAGAACTCCAAAGACGAAGGAACCAAACCAGGACGTAAAGATTGCACATCTACTCCGTTGCTTCTGAACGTAAGTCATCGAGACATCACCATCATCCATCGTTTGAAGAAGGCGATGATGTTGGTCTTCAGAAGCCGGACGTGACTTGAAGATTCCCATGGTCAACTACAGGCTCGAAATCAAGTGGTCAATGTTGGCCAGCAAGAAGCAGAACGAGAAGTCGATTGCTATCCAAGGGTACTCGCGCCTAACGATGTCCTCGGCATTTGCACGATGGTAACGGTACGCCACTCCCGAGAAGAGTTCCCGCAAGTTCACCATACCCAAGTCGGCACACTAAACTGTATTAACGAGATTGACAGCACCAATCCAGACACTATAGTGAAGCGAGATCTGGGGAAACTGGACCGGCGCAACTTTTTGCAGATCATGGTTCCATAAAGCCAATCACAATGATTACAACCTCGGCTTGATGTAAACCCAACTGTCACTTTCACAATCACAAGGAAGGCATTGTTTCAAAAGAAGCTAGTATATCATTGCTTCTCCGCATTCTGCTAACTCAACGAAGACTGATGATGGAAACTATGAGGCAGAAACGGAGCAATCTACGTTGCCAAGTCGGTTGGTTGCAAGTCTTACTTGGAAAGCTTAGCCACATGCCCCTTGTTCTATTAGCAGGCTGATACAAGCCTACAGCCCTAGCAAGGTGGTTCATTTAAACATATATGCCTCTGTACCCGTCTTGTCCGGCCTTGAGGAGGCAACGGATAGAGAACCAGCATCTGTGTTCCAATCAAGCACAATGGCATTCATCAAGTCCCTCCTGGCTCTGGCCGTAGTGGCTTCCTCTGCAATCGCCTCACCCATCGATAACCTGCCAGTCCTCGAGTCCCGTCAAGACCCAGGTCCTGGTTCATGCCGCAACCAGAGCTGCCTGATCGCAACCGTCGCCGGGTCCACCGGCGCTACTACATACCCCTATGACCAGTACCCCATCATGGACACTCAGGACGGCGACTGCTGCATCGTTCGCTACTTCCCAGCAGTCAAGAATAGCATCTATGAGGCCCGTCCAGGTCTCCAGGAGTACTGTGCCAGCCACGGTGGTGACGCTCCACGCGATGCCAACCCGCCAGGCGTCGTCGACATCCACAAGCGCGCCACTTGCAAGCCCAAGATTCTCATCTTTGCCAAGGGAACACTCGAGCCGGGCCCTATTGGTATTACCGTCGGCCCGAGCCTGAAGCAGAAGTTGGATGCCAACGTGTGGGATGTCAGGGGCTTCAACTACGACAACTCATTTGCGAATGACCTGTGCCTCGGGCTGCCGGGCGGTGTCACTGCGAGGGGAGTGCTGGAGTCGACGGCAGCTGAGTGCCCGAGTTCCGTGATTGTTCTGAGTGGGTATAGTCAGGGCGCCATGGTCGTGAGAAACGTAGGTTGCAATGATGGACTTGACGGTCATACGGTCTGCTAACGCGTATACACCTGCAGGCTCTCGCTCGTGCCAAGGCCTCTGCTGTATCCAGAGTCAAGGTAATAATCCCCCTTCCCATTCGGCTTACTACTCATACTCATAATCGTGCAGAACGTCGTCACTTTCGGCGACCCATTCAACGGTGCCAACATCGGGCAATACACTGGCCCAAGGCACGTTTTCTGCGCCCAGGGAGACGGAGTTTGCGATGGTCAACTGAACATTGGTGCCGCCCATCTCTCCTATGGATCAGATATTCCTGCTGCTGCTGCCATCATCAGTGCCACCCAGTAAGGGACTGCGGTGCTGGACGTAGTTGAAATGAAACAATAGTGCCACTCTGCATGCCGTTGAGCTGACTGTGTGTGAGAGCAAGGCTGCGATCTAAGCAATGACGTGATCGATCTGATATTATCTCGATAATGCAATGTTCCGTGTTCCCGGTAATAGACATACATATTTCCATCATTCTAAAAAAGGGTTTGGGATGTCTTAGCAGCAGGAGGCCGCCCAGGGGCCCCGTGCCATGTTCGTGGTACACGCCCCCATCCCGCGGCCCCTCAGCCGCACGCGGGCGACGTGCCGCGCCGGGTTTAGCGTCAGGCCAGCCCCGTATTATTCCCTGAACGCACAAGGACACAAGGCCTATGTTTAGCGTGCTGGAGGGCGAGTGAGCTGCTTATCCATCCCACCATCCAACAATCGTGGATTTTTGGGGGCCATGAAGCCGCAGAAGAAATGGGATTGGGGGGCAGTATAGATAAGCCAGGGACCATTCCCTCGTGGATGGAGTGAACTGCTGCATAGCTTGCTGCGAACTTCTTTTCTCTACTGCCTTTTTTCTTCCCTTTGAGTCTGAGGATTTGATATTATTTTCGGAACAAAAGCCATAGATACGAACGAGATGGCACATATACAAGACTTCACTGGGCCGGCCATCATACACGCAGATGTGCACTCCATCGAGCCAGACAACGACGCGGTGCAGGAGATGGCCGCGCAGAACTTCACACACGACCTGGCGCACAGTAGCGAAGACAAGAAGATTGCAGACCAGATGAGCAACTGGTGGGAGGACGCAATGCGGACGAACATGAACGTGCAGGACAACTACAACGAGGTGCATGTCCTGATGATCAAGTGGGCACGACACATCGACCAACTGAAGACTCACAGCGAGGTCGAGCGGTTGAGTGCCGTGTTCAGGGATGACTTCAATTACAGTGTCGAGAAGGTCGAGTTGGACAATCGGTTCAGAAAGCCACAGCACCAGCTCAACTCGGCGATTGCCAAGTTTGTTGAGAAGCACAATGATCCGAGAAACTTGCTCATCGTCTACTATACTGGTCACGGATCCTGGAACAAAGATCAGAAATATCTGGAGCTTTCGGCAACAAACAACGACCTAAAGAACAAATTCAGCCTGAAGGCAAAGGCTAATTTTAACACTGCGGAGGCCTTCCTCAAAAGCGACGTCGATGCTGATGTTCTGACGATACTGGATACATGCTTCAGCAGTAATATGCAAAAGTCTGGTGGGGACAACGAACGTGCTTATCAACTGTTGTCTGCGAGCGGGTTCGATCAAACAACTACCGCAGGCGAGGAGTCTTTCACGTCGACGCTGATACTGACCCTGAAGGAGTTGGTAAAGCAGTATGAGAACAAGCGGTCGTTTTCCACCCACACGCTCGTTGAGAAGATCAACATGAATCCAGTCCGCCGCGACTCGCCATGTTTTCTCTGGAACAGACTTTCGGGAGGCGATCGTTTCATCCGCTTGCAACCGCTCGACAAGAAAGAGGATCACATTGAACTACACCAGGTCGGCTTGAAAGAACCCGTTCGTGGCTATCTGACTCTTCGATTTGCGCTCAAATCCGAGACGCTCAACCGTGACCAGATCGAGTTCCTCACGCAACAGTTCTCACAGATCTTCGCTAAGGGTAGCAAGGTGCGCGTTGATCGTATCGACTGGCTCGGTATCAGAAAGACCTCTCGACATGCGTTTCTTGCTGTGCAGGTAATCAAGAAATGGAGGAAGTTGGCGGAGAGGAGCTCGAAGCGCAAGCTGAACGTCGACACTGAAGATGTGGATATGGGAGAAGATGAAGAGAGTTCGTCGCCGAGGAAGAAAGGGAGGTCGGCGGCGTCGACGTCGCTTGCACAAGCAGGCATCAATTCTGATCCGCTGACGCCCAACTCTCTGGACGCTAACTCATGATGTGGTTGGCATTGTAATAGTAACGAATGTCGTGGTGTGGATCATCGTGTTTTGAAGGATCGTTTGCATGGAACAGGCGTCGGATACCAAAAGGCGGTTGCAATCTGCTCTTTCTATTGCTCTCTTCTTTCTGTCATTTGTACTATCGCCAGTCTTTTTGCTTCGCGTTCTCGCATCTCCACATACACTTTCGTTGTGATATAGAAGAACAACAGGGCGATACCGAGCCATAATGTCATCGTTAACAGCATTGAGCCAGCGTCTTCGAATAAAGGCCTCATGGCGCTTGAATAGGACCCCTCATACTTGAGCATGGTGGGCTGTATGAAATGATGCCTAGTTGTCGCAGTGTGTGGCTAGTATCACAGAAAGGCTTCAGCGAATGACCTGGCTTGTCGAAGGGTATGAAGCTGTCTAGGAAGGCGTGTTATGCTATCCTCCCCTTCCACAAATTTACCGGCTCAGACCGACAGAGCGCAGAACCTCCATGTCCTAAGGTATTTGTACTACCTGGGTACGCAGAAGCTCTTGTTCAAACCACATCAATCAATTGCCGTCTGACAGAAACGCTTTGATCAAGGCAACATACTGTTCCGTCTGTTCAACATGTGCAAAATGCGCCGCATCTGCCAGCGTAGTCCACTTAACCTTGTCGATTCTCTCGAAAAACGGCCTCATAGCCTCCTCTGTCGCCTCATCCTCATCACCGTTTAGCAATAGCGTTGGCGCCCTGATATCACCCAATCTGTCTACCACACTCCAGTCCTTCAACACCCCGTTCGGCGCCAACTCACTGGGCCCATACATTGTCTCATACACCTTCGACCCACCCTCCTTGCCATCCTTCTCAAACCACCCAAGCACATTTGCCATCTCCGGACAAGGAAACGGCCGGCTCAGACTGACATGCCGCTTGAACCACACCTCCATAGCAGCTTCATACTCCGGACTCGTGAAATCACCCATACGTTCTGCCTCGCCAAGCGCCCGTTGCACATCCGGCGGCAGCGCATCTCTCAACCTCGCAAGACCGTCCTTGAAGTCCTTGATGCTGGCCAGTGCGCCGCCGAGCACAAGTCGTCGCACGCGGTCTGGTTGCGCGATCGCGTATTCGGCCGCGAGCATGCCGCCCCAGGAGTGGCCATAGACGTCGAATTTCCGGTCGTGTAGACCGAGATGGTTGACGAGAGTCTGAAGTTCGGTGATGAAAAGTGCGACAGACCAAAAGGTCTGGTCGCCGGCACGGGCAGGCAGGATGGTTGATGCGCCGCAGCCGAGTTGATCATAGAAGATGAGCGGGATGCGGGCGCGTGCAAGGTCAGTGAGCGGGAGAAGGTATTCGTGAGTTGCGGCGGGCCCGCCGTGGAGGATGAGGAGAGGAGTGAATGCTTGGATGTCGCCAATGGTTTTGTACCATGTTTGGACGGACTGGTCGAGGCCTGGCGGCGTCCAGGTTACGGTCCCTGAGATGACCTGCGGAGCCCTCATGATAGCTAATTGACTTGGAGAGATCGAAAAGAGATATTTGCTATGATATGGATATCGTTCATTGATAGCTACGCCGCAAGTATCGAAGTACAAATTTGTATGAAAGTCGTAAAGCGCCCAAATGGATGCTGATTAGCGTCATGCTGGGTTAGGACTAGCCCGGTTATAATCCATCATTACCATATCCTATGTAGATATCAGCCACACAGTACACTAGGTTACCACTTAACGTATATCCAGAGGCGGCAGACTGCTCAATGCATCTATCCTACCTAATTTCTACTTAGTGTACATGAGTACAATTACAGAGGAAATTGAAAGCTGGGCATGTTTGCTGCAGTCTATATAAGCCGTTTAACACTTCTATCGACATCAACGTCTATGAAACTAATCGACCAACAAGCTTTGTAACCTCGCTTCCGTAGACATGACCTAGCACATAGTTAGTTTTCATTCATACAATGACCGACTGGGATGATACTCACATCAAGCGCCTGTCTGACTTCCAATACTTTTCTAGTATCACTCAACCAATCTTTCGCCAACAGCTTTGCCCATCCGTTCAGGCCATTCATCTCACGCGCAGCACCGTCAAGGTCGCCCTCCTCAAGCAAAACCTCCGTTCTTGTGAGAACACTCTCGACGTCATCCCCTATGGGCAACCCTTGCTTCTTGAACATCACCTTGCTAAGCACAGCACTAGCAAGATGACTTGCTACACCTGCATTTTCAGGAAGTAAAGAAGCCTTGCGGACCTCTGAGGCAACCCTTCTGAAGCGATCGATTATTTGTGCCGGCGTCGGGATGCCACGCTGGTATGCCGTTGGGTTGATGGACGCGATGGCAGCAGACACGACAGGAGAGTCGTTAGCGACCTCCTTCAACGCCGCAAGCTCCGATAGGAAGGGTGTTGGCTTTTCGGCGTGCTCAATGGAAGCACGGACAGCCTCAACCGCGACCACGAGATGTTGAGTCTTGAGATTCGCATCAACGACATCATTCCATGCACCAGTAAGTTTCTCCAGCTCAGACACACTGTTCGACAGGTCGTTCAGCTTCGAGAGACGACCGTCGCGCTCTGCTTCAACATGGCTCCGAATGGACTCGGCGAACTTGCGTTGTAGTGCAATAGACTGTTCCGCGAGCTCGTTCTTGACACGCTGCTCATAAACCTTTTGCGCGCTGTCGAGTTCAACTTCAAGACGATGGTTGTAGCTCTGGGCTAGCCTCTCGCGCTCAGCTTCGTACTCTTCCTTGAAGTGTGTCTCCTGCTCCTTCATTTCTGATTCTAGGCGCGAGACGAGATTTTTAGCAGCATCATCGAACTCAGCATGGGCTGCCTTGACTTTGTCGTCCGATGCTTTCTTCTCGACCGCTTTCAGGGTTGTAATATCCTCGATGACTTTTCCAAGATCTTGTTTTGCCTGCGTGATCGTAGACGAATATTTTCCAGAAGCGTTGTCTGCGTTTATTACAGTAATTATGTTGTTCAAGATCTTTACCAGGTCCTGTACCGCAGGCTCAGTGCCTTCTTTGATCGAGATATTGTCAATGAGTGCGGCTGGAGTCGAAGGTGCTGCAGCTTTTGCTTGTTCTGACACTGCCTTTTTCGTAGGTGCTTCGGTCTTCACCTTGGCTTCTTGACTCTTTGGAAGTAGATCATGCGAGTGAGAGTCTGTAGGCTTTTCAGCCTTGGCTTCTTGGGCAGGCTTTGCGGACCCAGAGATTGGTTTTGGGGTATTCTCTTCCAGAGCACTGGTATGTCTTCCAGCAGAACCTAGATCGCTGACGGCCCTTGCAGACGTCCCACTCTTGCTTGGTATTGTCACTTTGTTCTCGCCGCGCACTTGTGGATGCAGTGGGCTATTCTTGGCGGTGCCTTGGAAGCGCCTCCGGAACTCCCTCTCTTCAAAGTAGCCCACAGCGTCTTCTCCGAAAGGCACGTATTCAGTGAAGAAATCGTGGAAGTTATCCGAATGGAGCGAGTAGTACACACCTCCGCCATAGCCCAATACCGACAGTAAAATAGAGTATAGGAGAAAGCGGCGGAACCATCGTCTGGGCTTTTTCGCCGGCAGGGCCGACGGGGGCGGAGGGACAGCGGAAGCAGCAGGAGTCGGACTAGGTGGAGGTGCGACAGCAGCAGTTCCAGTTCCCAAGGTAGGAGTCGCCTTGGGATCGACTGTAGGACGATCACCTAACGTTGATGGTACGGTCGCAGTAAGGTTGTTGTCAATTGCGATTGGGGTAGGTGCATCGGCGGCCTTGGAGCTCTGTGAGCCTGGGAATACAGTCTCATCAGGTTTTCTGGAATCTGCAAAAGATCTCTGTATAGACATGCAGATTAGCATGAATTCGTGAGGGTCGACATGAGTATTAGGACATACCTGACCAGGTATTGCGTATCTAGCCTGGGAATACCGCGCAGGAACCCATTGAGCCGCTGTGACTTTAGAAGCAGCTAATTGACTCCTCCGAATGGAAGCGCGCAGCATGTTGAGCTGCTAAGAGGGAGTTGCAGATGTCGTTAGGTATCGGGAGAAGGTGATGGAGCTCCATCGTCAAACTGGTTCTCCAAAAGTGTTTGGACCGAGCTTCTTACACGTGACCGACCTCGACCACGAACCATAACCAAAAGTCTCGGCTTGGTCTATGCCTTCTATCTTCACTCATTGGATGATTGTATGCTTAAACTCAAGAAGAGGGCTGTAGCAGATTCACGTTCCAGACTGATGTTGATTGGCTTCCAGTTAATATCTCTAGACGACAGTATGCCGTACCGTGACGTTCAGAAGAAGATTGTTAGCCAGCAACCTGCGTTGGAGGAAGGAATTTTGCACATGTACGAGACAGCGATAAATTTCCTAGCAGTCCAGTCTTCTGCCGAACTTTGTATCCACTGTTCAAATAAAGACCTGGAATCCGAACGATAAGGCGCACAGCTCGCACGAGTGGCGCGGACGTTGCATGAATCTATGCAATAGATCCATTGGCTAAGTAGCGGTGGAGCCCTGGTGGCCTCGTTCTCATGAACCACACCATGAGCATATTCTTATTACGCAGGATACCAAAGAGTCTACTCTAAGTGACCTGCTTAGCCTTCACCAAGATGAGTGGGAAATATGTTACTCTCCTGTACGGTAAATTGGACAGTAAGCAACACAATACTGCACTCCCAGTCGCATTGGACAATAACCACTGACGATCCATACAGGACTGACCTTGCTCGGATTTAATCACATTCTGATGTTCATTGGCACGAGCGGGATCGTATTGCTATGTAGATATCCCAATCATGCTTGAAGCACTTGGCTGACAGGTCTGTAGCGGTCCTACTTGCTGGATGTTCTTCTTATGCTACAATGACCGCGATATATCCTCTCAGCATTTCTTACCGAAATGTCAGTGGCAATGAAGCTTTCTCGCCCAGTGCACAGAATTTGTCTGCTACCTTGGCGTCTTTCAAGGGAAATGCTATGATGGAGGTACGAATAGGCTACTTCGGCATGTGCGCCCGGCAACAAAATCGCATTTGGGTATGCGGGGTGGACGGTCAAGGCATAAAAGACCAGATTGGCGCCGAGAATGACCCTCTTGATCTCATTGATACGGCCACCAGCTTCAAGGACGATGTACTCTTCTCCGGACTTATGTGAGTGGCAATGGAACATCGAGGACGAAGCCATTACTGATCTCCCTGGCTAGCTTCATGTCGATAGTCCTGACTTCTTTTGCTGTGGTTCTTCTATCCAGGTTTCCAGGCTGGCGTGAGGAGCAAGACGCTTCCACGGGCGATACAATCGACGTTAAACAGTTTCCTTCTAGGTCCCTTAGTCATATAGCACTGGGATTCGTGTTTGTAGCCAGTATGGTTGCACTTATCAGCGGTCTATGGCAACATATCGGGGCTGTTGCAGCTGCTGCAATGGCCGAAAGAACTGGATACGGAAATGTTAAAGCAAGCATAGGCACGGTTGCAATCGTTTTAGCTTGGCTGGGGTTTACAATGCTTGCATTAACTTTCATCGGACTCCTAGTTATGGTCCTATCCATCCACATTCTGGATGAAATGACCAGTGACTAGCATTAGTGTGAGCTTGATAGGATATATGTTGTGTACTCGTCCGCTGACCGACTTTCCTTATTAGCATTCGAACAGATCTATGAATACTGATAAAGATCTATCTATATACGGAACTCTGCAAGACATTGTAAACAAGTTTCATCAATGAACCTCATATGTGCTTGAGTCATTCACGTGACTAGCTAGGTAGGTGCATTACTGCCAAGGCGCGGCTGACATCTCGTCGATTACGTGTGCATGACTTCCAGGTTAATGTGCGCGGGACAAGTTACATTTTGTGCTATGTAACAGCTCAGAGGACAATGTCCGAAGACATACCATCAATGGTGCAGCCGCAGTCGCAGACGCCGAGCAATCAACCTCAACGATTAGACACAAGACTGGTACTGACCCGGGACTGGCTGGCCGGCAGTCATGGACAAAATAATTATTCAGACAATGTGATTGAGGTTACGTCCTCGACGGCTTTGCAGATGCACAGAATCGTGGCTTCACCGCCCTTGCCTCCTGAGGACTACGACATACATGAACCCGAGTCAAATGCTGAGCTTATCGCGCTGCCATTGTCATCTACACACTCTGTGACATCGGATGATTCGAATCCAAGATCATTTGCTGCTCCCGACAATTCGTTTCTGGAACTCTCGCCTCAGATGGTACCTCTACCGGCATCAATCGTTTCGGAATCAAGGACTTGTACGAATGCTCCTTTCAGCCGACGCACAACGAACGCATCTCTTATCTCTGGTCAAAATCCACGACCTGGGTTGTATCAGGCGACCGTGGAGACTGTCACTGATAGCGACGCAGCTGGTGGAGTTCATAACTCCACAAGAGATTCAAGACTGTCTTCAGTTTCAACGAACTCCTCTGGTCCAAGACAAGCAATTCATACAATACCTGAAGTACATAGAGCACCTCTTACCTATGTGACTAGCACGTTCGATCAACACAACCAATCAGAACTCCAGGTCCCCTACCAGTCATCATCTGATAGATCGTACCAGCAATTTGATGACGGCACAGAGGTTGGACGTCGAACAGAAGAGCATCGATATCCCCAAAGGGATCCTAGGTATGTGGATCTAGTAAAGCCCCCTGGTTGGTACAGAGATAGGATACGAATACTAGCAGAGGAGGCACCCAGACTCAGAACTCTTGTGTCAACTGTATGCCGACACCATAAGAACACAAATCTAGCCGTATTCGATTATGACATCGATGGGAACAGTATTGCAGACCAGAACAGGGTCTCGGATGAGAGACATTGGGATGGTAATGCGGAGGCATTCGCTGACGAATTCAAATTCGGTATCCAAAGTGGGACAACCCGACGACTACTATTTGTTCAAGATCTGTCGCCCGGCATGATCGACTTATTAGGTTCAACTTTTCAGATTAATCCCGAATGCTTTTCGGATCACCTCTATCAAAGTGGCTACGGGGATAGCCAAGTTGATTCTCAAGCGTACTCTGATTGGGAAAGTCTTCCGTCTATCAAAGATCACACGACTTTCGAATGGTACCGTCCGGTACTACCGCTTTTCCCCATCAAGAAAAGTTTCAGAGATGCGTTACTAGACAAACACGCACCACTTGCGAAGTGTCATCATGCTGGATGCGGAAAAACACACGCACTTGCAACGAATTCGAATATTTGGCGTCGGCCGTGGAAGCTCAGTCCGTTTCCAACGACCTCTGGGTCAGCGGACGACAAATCTCCCATGGGATGGTGTGAAAGAGTGACTGTATGGACGAAAGTATTTGGTGGATGCTTGTTCAGTAAGGTCGTCCACTTGCTGAGTTACAAAACGACTGATTCCTTTTGATTAGTAATTATACTATTGGATCCACTACCTCTCCTTGACCAAACAGTGCCCAAGATTGGAGAAAGACGTAGGCCAGAGATCGTGAATCGTCGGACCAATACGCCGGTTTCTAGGAGAAGGTACAATGAATCACAACGTCAGTCCGAAGAAAGTAATGAAGGTTTCGCATCTGGAATTGATGACACGGCCTCAAGTAGACAGAATTTTGCGGCTCCAAATATCGTTCACCGGTCCGTTAAGCATTATCCGTTCGCTCCTTTCCAACAAATGATCGCTCGTGGGCCATCTGCAGTAGCAGATGATCATCTTCTAGCCACTACCGTGATCGATGATATTCGCAAGCCCAAGTCCACTTGGGTTGAGAGCTGCCAACTCTCAGTCGCTAAACACATTGACCCATTGACGTTTCTCTTCGGGGCAATACACAGTGATATCGATGGCGTATTGAGGCTAGTTCGCTCGTCCATTGACACAATCAGAACGAGCCGACAGGATCAAGCACTTGTTCAAGAAAACGTATGGTATTGGCGAGAGCTTCTCAACCAATATGAGGACAAGATCGAGCGGATGAAAGGTGGTCTTGAAGAGTTGATTAGATTCATATTCGTAGGTGCCGAAAGATCGAAAGCCGACTTTGCAAGCCACAAACACTATGTCCCTGAGCGCACTCGCGACCATGTCGAAGCAACCATTCAACGTCTGGACGAGGTTGGCCGAATGGTGGCAGTTGCCCAAGACCAACTCCGTGTCGAATTGCAAATGATCGATAGCAGACGCAGCATTGCAGAAGCAGAGAGCGTCTCCAAGCTCACCGAACTTGCATTTATATTCATCCCTGTCACTTTTGCTGCCAGCTTATTCAGTATGCAGATAAAAGAGCTAGGAGATGGAGTGCCGGTCTGGCAATTTGTCCTTGTGGCAATCTCGTTCGTTATGCTCGCCTATATCGTGCGGCTGTCGATCCGCTCCGAATCCGTCGTTGAGTTCAAGAAGGAATGCTTCGACCAAGCTCGTCGACAAGCTGGGCTCGCAGAAAACACACCAATACCCACTCGTGCCATGTTAAAATGGGCACTCCCAAGACTATTTACCACTCTACGCGCTTTGAGTATCAATTTGATACGCCTTTCGTTCATACTGACCGCCATTTTTGCCGCCATTGCCGCCATTCTGTCACCCATAATCACCATGTGGACACGCAGAATGAATCCTGGCTTCTCTGCTGTCATCACAGTAATTTTACTTCTGCTCGACGGTATCGCCCTGTGGCCTGTAGTATCTGTGTTGACAAATCTCGATGACTTCAAGAACGAACTAAAAACGTGGCGTGCGTCACAGGATGTAAGATACTGGAAGACAAAGAGGCAAAGGCAGGACGAGGAAGGTGTCATTGGAGAGCCCAGAAGACACCCCCAAAGTGCCTTTACATATAGGCAGGAAACTGGGGTCGAAATGGTCCAGCGGGTTCGGCGTTGAAGATCAATCTCGCTCTCATTCATCGTCCCATACATCCTAACCATGTCACGAGCCTGAAATGAAAGATACTATATGCCTGCTCAATCGACGGGGAGGTACGATTCCTCGACCTTAAGGAAACTCATCTCACTTCTCACTCCAACCGCGCACTTTCCACGGATCTCAGGACACTTATCGATCCAAATACGCCTCCAAGATCGTCACTCTCTACTTCTGTCCCCATGATGATGCGGAGGAAAATGTATCCGACCTAAATGCCACTCGTTCAGCCCAACAATAAGCGAAACTCATGCTAAACGCTGAAACCGACAATTACCAGATGGAGTAATCTGAAACACACACAAGCAACCCTCCTTCTCTGCAAGCGAGCACATATCGGTATAATCTGTGTGCACAGGTGAATGCGAAACATGTGTGGCTGACACGGAGTCTGCCCATCCACTCGTTACAAGTCGTCAGTCTTTTATCTTAGGCCTGGACTCCCGTCGATTGTGTACTGACTCGTATCGTATCTACTGGCGGGAAACGCACTGGGTGAGAATGTACGGATTAAGCAGCCCATACTAAGCGGACCATGAGTACTCATTGACGTAGTCTTGAGTAGACAGGGGAGAATCGTACGTGATACTTCATGTACATGTGGCTACATACTAGTCTTTGCTTTTTGGTCCAACATGAATGTCTTGGTTGTTATTTGCTGGTTTTCATATACTAGTAGATTCCCAGTACGTAGTAAAATAGTCCGTACTAGGTACTGAGTATAGGTCTGCTTGATATTGCTGTGTGCGCGATGTGTCTTTCCCTGCTTCGTTTTAGTTCGAACCTACTAATATATATGAGATTCATTAAGAGAAGACACAGTATATATATATATATATACTTAGTATCTTTAAGGTATAAAATCTAAGACTAAAACTTACAGGTGACAGAACAAGAGGATGTTATTGTGAAAAGGGCAGGTATAAATAGATATATAATATTCCTTAGATAAGGAATATATATCTAAATAGAGTTATATAATAGGATCTAGCCGTAATAGACTATTATATAATAAACGGATCGGCGGAGTATAGCTTAAAGATAATAAGAATATAGTATAATTCTTAAAGTAAAGACTAGATAGAGAGAGAACTAAATACATAGAGAGACCGTTCCTTATATATTCCTCCTTATACATTCTAGATCCTTCTCTTAATTAATAATAGGAATCTTCTAGACCTCTAGACGTACGTATACGTTCTATAGCTCTAGTAGTTTC